GCAGCTTTCCAGCTGCTCTTCCCCAAGCCATAATATACACTGCTAAGAAAAAAACAGTATCTTTTAAGTTAGGTCAATTGGATACAATTTTACTCCACGTATTCTGAGTGTTGAACAACTGAGAGTCTTTTTACATATGAGATTATCTGAAATATGTGGTTGAGACTGTAAACTGTACTATAACTCCTGTAATCTGTCTGAATTATCTGTTTATTTTCTGTATTGGCTGGATAGCCACAATGAGATTACTGTTGTGAGAGTCGGTAGGAATTCAAGGAAAAATACACATTTCAGTGTTTTGTATAGCTGCATATTGTGTAAGGAATGTATGTTTGGATCAAAAGAGGAGCTGTTAGAATAAAATTAAAGGGAAGTCTATGGGCAGGTGAAAATACCTAAAGACTGAAGTTGGTTTGTACAGATTAAAGAAAGATCTTTTCTTAATTTTGTCTAAAGGATCAGTGGTATTATGAGAAGACTTCATATTAGTTTACTTTGATTTTTCTCTGAAAATCATAATGAACCATTATTACACTTATTTAACCTTTAAAATTATGTATGATTTTTCTATTGTTCAAATATGGAATGTAATGTATTTAACGTAATATGATTCTTACCTGTTTGTGTGCAATTACTATTTCTCAGGGAGATCCAGGCGTCCCAGGAGTTTTGGGCAGCAAAGGAGAAAAAGGATCCCAAGGTCATCCAGGACATAAAGGAGTACCAGGACCACATGGGATCAGAGGGGCAACTGGAGGTGCAGGAATCCCAGGTATGTTTTGTTTTGGAGGGGTGGTGAGATGTTGACATGCTTTTAGAAGATAATTTCTCAATAAGCTACACGATAAATGTGCCTGTGAGGTGGCACATTTATATTCAACTGCTGTAAACCTAAACAGCTCCTTTGTAGTCAGTACGACCAGGCTAGCTTACATCAGCTAGAGATCTTTCGCAGCTGTCCGAAGCAGAAGTGATAGCCAAGTTCTCAGACTGAGTCTGGATCTAGTGATAAT